TAATTTAGTTTCATTTTGTATATAGAGAAATTAATTGGTTGTAATAACAACAGAACTTTCATAGAGTAATGAATTGTTTTAAAAGTTGGCAAAAAGTACAATTTATATAATCAACACATAAATCTAAGATTATTGCTTTTCTAATGGATGTTTTAACATAACATCTGGATTGTATAAATGTGTTTTTTAGACCATGTTCCTAAAGGCTTAAAGAACTATATTCAGAAATACTGGAGCAATTTAGGTGTACCAAGCCTCAGCGTCAGGAATAGACAAGGATATGTGCTAATGTTATTTTCTTCAATATCTATGTGTCCAATGGGCAAGGTTAGTTGAGCACTAGGATTTTTTAAGATCTTTGATAACTTTTTAAATGTTGAAGTTTGGTTTTGTTTCCTTTTTACTTTTTTCAGTTTATTTTTGCTTTTCTTTCTGTGTGGTGGTAATGGGTAGATGAATTTTATGGAGTATAGGAAAGAAAAAGGAGTGATTACCTTATACCCCTTGACTTCACTATTTTTATGCTTTTAAATGTATTTGTATTTTTACTCCAAAACTGGCTCCAACCTGCAAATTTATATACATACATTTTGAGGGAAGCTAATTTTGAAAAGACACTGCAGATTAGAGAAACAACTTGATTTTATGGGAAGAGAACTGGATTAGGCTTCAGAAGATCTTAGTTCTAATTCGGGTGTCTGACACCTGGCTGCATAATTCAGGAAAGCTATGGCATAGTAGACTGAATGGAACCTTAGAAACATCTCAGACCAGACTTTTCCTTTTACTGATGAGGAGTTGACACCCAAAGACATTTTGTGCAGAGCAAAGAATAAAATGGAAGTTTCCTCGTTCGTAGGCCTGTTCCTTTTCCATTACGCGAGTATTTTAATTTGTAATTATATATATAGTTATATATGTGATCGTGTATGTATATGCGCACACGTATTTAAAGTAATATCTATATCTGTGTCTATCTCTCTCTGTAATACTATACTGCAGTGTTGTCTTCTTAAACAATCGCAAGCTCCTTGAGAGCGGACATTACAGTATATGCTTACAATTTTTACCCCCTCAAAACATCAATCTGGGAGCTGAACAGCCTAGATGCTCTGTAATTTCGTGAACAGAGCTCACCCGCAGGCAGCACTCCCCGCGGCCCGCCGCGGTCCGCGCCGGGCTTTGGCGCCGTCCCCGCGCGGGGGGAGCGCGGACGCGGAGCCCGCCCCAGCCGCCGCGGGCGTGCAGGCGCCGCCCAGCCGTCCGCTCCGAGGCTGCGGGCCGGGCCGGGCTTTCCTCGCCGGGGCCTTGCGGTGAGCGCCTCCGCCCGGGGCAGGCGGGGGGCGGCGACAGCGCGGGGCGGGAGGTGGCGTGGCGGACGAGGGACTTGGGCCCACGACCTTCTTTTCCCTGGAAGCGAGGGGTTCGAGGCCCCGCGTGGAGGCGCCTGTTGCCAGGCAACCGCAGACGCGGGCCTGCGCCGGCCCAGCCTTTCCGGGAACTGTCCCTTTCCAGCTTGTCCTGTCTGAAACTGTCTGAAGAGGGTTCTCAGTGGATCGCCCTAGTTTGTATCCTTTCCAGCCCTCCCGCTCTGGACTGGGTCTTTACCCAGATTGTTGGGTCAAGTCAGGTTGGTTGCCCCTTGTGTCCCATCCCAGTCCATGATCCCAGGTGGGAAGAGGGTGGAGCATTCCTTTCGGTACGTTGCAGGTACTCAAGTACAATCTCAACTTTTGGGGAAGTCATGTGGGGGCAGTTACTCTGCTTCGTTTGAAATTAGGAACGACCCCAGGTTCAGTTCAGATACCTGGTCTGTTATCACCTGACTCCAAGATAGACTGGGTCTACCCCTGCGTGGAGCTTACATACTACATTGTATTTACAAGTCTCTTTCCTCTCTCCTTGATTATGGACTGGCTTTGATCAGTTTTTTCGTTGCTTTCTACTAAGTTCTGATTTGGTATAAGCAACGTTATGGCCACTAATGTCATTAGCCAAGAGAGAAGTTATGATAATTAGAATTGGAAATAATCATCCTTAAAAAATGAGAGAAGTGGGAGGTGAGTTCAATTCTTTTTGGTAGCTCTAAAGATGATATGGTAAGTCTTGGGTCTGTTAGTCAACAATATTCGTTACATGTTAGAAATAACATCTCAGGACTTGGCAGCAGTTTGGATGGAGACAAGCCATTCTTCCCTCCTGCACTCCTCCCCCACTCCCAGCCCCATCCTCAACACATCTCAACTGGATATTCAGCGTTTTAGAACAAAGACAACCCTTGGCGTGCTTTCCAAAGATTGGCTCACAGTCCATTTGTTTGAAATGCTGATTCTTTTGCCACCAAGTTTAGGTTTCTGGTGTTCTTTAGTCTTGAAGCTAATTCCTCTCCCCTTCTTCTATCACCTGTACCAGCAAGGGTGCAGAACTGGAAAGAGGTCTGAAACCTGTATGAATTCAGGCTCTGCAATAACTGGCAAATAATTTGGCAAAGTAAAATTCACTTTTCTGGGTCTCAGATTCCTCAGTTTGAAAATCAGAAGGTTGAGCTGTTTTATCTCTGAAGTTCCTCTGAAATAGGGTGTCAGTGACCTGTCTGCTCTAATGCTGTAGATCCTGGAGTGTTCCATATATGATGATATTGCCCTTTGAATACCCCCATACCTAAATGAATCATTATGCTAGGAATTGTAGTTTTGAAATAACTCATATCTGAATTGACTGAATTTACTTATTTAACAAATATTTAAGTTCCTACTATTTTCTAGGCTTTCTGCTAAGTGCTGAGATATAGGGTGAGCAAAACTAGTAGTCCTTGCCTTTGTGAGGCTGGCAGTATAGTGATGAAGAATAATAGTTACCACTCATGCTTTAAATACATTATCTAATTGTTTGAAGACAATTTATATGTGGGCATTGTGATCATGTCATAGTTGTAAGTGCAGAGAAGTGAAACTAATATAAGAATATGTTTAAAATATGTACAGGTATTGGACTATGCGTTAATTTATTTATTGACTAAATATTTATTGAGCATCTGCTATATTGAGGGCATGAGATGCCAACCTTCTTGGTCTTCACAGTTCATTAGGGAGATGAAAAGAGCTAATTACAGTGAAGGGTGATGCCTGTCACACCTGAGGAAGTACAGGGACTAGAAGGACCTGGACATCTGAGGGTTTAAATTTTGTTGTTTTTATTATTTGCAAATGAGTTATAGTGATTTAAAGTGACCTCTAGTGATTTGAAATGGCTTTACTGTTACTAAGGTATAAATAATTATGACCCTGATGTGTGGAGAAAATCACTTAGCTGATTGCTTAGCATCCATGTCTCAACTTGGGTTCATTGGCCACTAACCATCATGACAAATGCAACAGCTCTTGTGATGTGATTAAAAGCAAACAACTACCCCCGTACCCCCAACCAAACCAAAGACAACTTTAAAAAGTTGCTTCTTTGTGAAAGATCTCTCTGGAAAGAAAGCCATGTGCCAGCTAGTGCTGTAGCAGCATTTTCCCATCTAGTGATTTGTGATGTTTTCAGAACATGTCTACTGTTGGCTGCTAAGTCTTCCTGACTGTACTCTTATAGTAGGATTCCAGGCTTAGGGCAAGGAGTTTTTAGGGGAGGGGGCTATGGAAATGGGATATCTTTCAGGTAAGAGGATTTCATTGGGTATAAAATAAAACTACATTTTCATAATAAAGACGATGGCTACGCTGTATTGAATGTTAACCCTGTTCCACAAGATACAGGAGGATAAGAAAGGTGCTAACATTAAACTCGTTGTAGAAATATTGGCTCAGAAAGATTAAGTTCTTATCCAAGTTTACATTATGGGAAAGTGTTAAAAATGAGCATTTTAATGTCTGTCTGACTCCAAGCTGACGCTGTGTTGTGCTATCTTTCCTTAAAAACAACACAAACAAAAAATTTTACTATTAAAATAAATCCAAGTCTAATATTAGAAAAAGAAAGTATGAATGAATCATTGAACAAAAATATATCCTAGGTAATATAAAGTCAAAGTATAAAATAAAATATACAAAATTTGGATAACTGATATTCATCTGAATTTTGTTTTGTACATATTTGCAAGTTGATTATTTTCAACATTCTCTTGCAAGCAGTTTTACCTGTCACTTCATAATTACTAATTGGACCATTCACTCCATTTTATTCTTTGTTTTAGATAAAGATTCTGTTTGCTAAAAAATATTTTCATCAGCCAACTCGGGCAAAAATCAAAACTCATAAAAGGTTTAGGAAAAGAGTCAAGAAAATATATTTGTGTCACTTTGTGGTAGAGAAGAAGTCCATGCGTTAGTTGCCTATTGCTGCTGTAAAAAATTACTGCTAACTTAGTGGTTTAAAACAACATAAATTCACTATTTTATAGTTGTGGAGGCCAGAAGTACAAAATGAGGCCTACAGGGCTACAATCAAGACGTCAGCAGGGCTGGTTTCTTCTGGAGGCTCCAGGGAAGATTCCATTCCTTGCCTCTTCTAGCTTCTGGCGACTGTGGGGCCTCTCCCTGCGTTTTGAAAGCCAGCTACGTAGCGTCTTCACTCCTCTCTGCCTGTGCTTCCGTCCTCGTGTCTTCTCTGTCTCACTCGGGTCGTCCTGCCTCCCTTTTGTAAGAACCCTGCTGATTAACTGGGCCCAGCAGATAATCCAGGATAATCTCCTCATTTTAAAATCCTGAACTTAATCATGTCTGAAAAGTCCTTTTTGGCATGTAAGGCAACGTATACACAGGCCTGGTGATTACGACATGGACGTCTCTGGGAGGCCGTTATGCAGACTAGTATTTGCTCCACGGATGTTGCCTGGCATAATGTAATTGCCTCACAAAAAGTTGACTTGGTTGAAAGAAGTAAAAATGATTAACCACATGATTTCTTTCCTGTAGTATTATTATATAATTTGCATGGCTTATTTAAAATTAGAGTAAGAATTTTCATTTTATGTTTATTTTACCTTTTTTGAAGGATACTGCATGGTAAATACGTGAACTTGAATGGATTTAGAGGTTAAAGGAGTTGCTGCTTCTCCTACAAGTCAAACTCGGCCATTCTCTGGAAGAAAGAAGCCACTACAAGTATGTATGCTATAAATTTTCCTCTCGTAGGATAATTCATTAAAGAATTTTCTGACTCCTTTCTTTGTGTTTTTATGACTATTTATACTTCCAAATATTTAAGATCAATATTTCCTAGATTTGAATAATTGAACCACCAAAATTGAAAATAATTATTACTTGAAAATTGGTCACTATTTGAATTAGTTTTATTTTTTTAAATTAAGCTTATTTTTGTTTCTTCTTATTAAAAAACTGTGTATGTCCGCAGAAAATAAAAAAAGGAAAAATAGTGGAAAGAAGAAGAAAATATCAATATACATTTTGTATAGCTATGTGGGGAGAGAATCTGGGCTTCTATTATTAAGACTTTTATTCTTCTCAGCCTTTATAATATCACTGTTGTGTATATCCTTGATTAATTAAGTGCAAGTTTAAAGCTACTTTGTCGCTGTATCCACCACAGAATTGGGTAAATATAAAATTTAGTTTAGAAATACAGAAAAGTGATGTATATTTCCTTGCTGTTCTTATTATTTCAAATATTGAATGCCTACTGCTTATCAGCGACCATGATAAATGTTTCAATAATTTATATCACATAATTCTTACAACCAACCTTTGAGGTAAGTAGTATTATTAACTTGCTTTCAGATATGGAAGAACTAGAGGTTCAGTGACTTGCCATTATTTGAACTCTAGTTCTGACCTCAAGATCTGTACTCCTCACTCTGTGTCAGCAGTCTCCCTTTATATGGATGAGTCAGTGCCTTGGGGTTCTTCTGCACAGTATTATGGGTTAAATCTGAATTATTGGATGATTTGAATCAAAGCAGCCCTTGTTAGTCAAAATATCAAGTACAATATTACAGCCTTTCCCACTGATTGTTTGGTTATCATATTATAGAGGTTTCAGCTTTTTTCCTGGTTGTTAGGAAAAGCTCAAGCTTTAAGTTCTTAAAAAAATGATTTCTAAAATTACCTTTTTCTGCCCAAATAATATCTTTAAGTCTTAATGCCTTTATCTCTGTATTAGGACGGTCCAGCTAGTGGTGGAGTTAGGGAACAAGTTTATGTTTATCTTAGAGCTCTTGTTTCTTAAGAAAAAAGTATTTCCAGATATCCAGGTTATTGTCTCTTAGAGTTGATCAGCAAAGTATCAATATCATAGTTATCAGCTGCCATTTCTGGAGTGTTCTAAAAGCTAGAATTAAAAGTGAGAATACATAAAATTTTTTTTAAAAAATGATACTTAATGCTTCAAATATCATTACAAACACCAACAACTGATAAATACATGTGGGAGATAAGAATATAATAAACAAATGGGACTTTATCAGATTAAAGAGCTTCTATAAGACAAACGAAACCAGAATCAAGATGAACAGACAACCCACCAGCTAGGAGAGAGTATTTGCAAAACATACATCTGACAAGGGGTTGATCTCCATAATATATAAAGAACTCACACAACTGAACAACAAAAAAACAAACAACCCGATCAAAAAATGGGCAGAGGAAATGAACAGACACTTCTCCAAAGAAGATATACAGATGGCCAATAGGCACGTGAAAAGATGTTCAACATCACTAATCAT